TGCTTCTTAGCCATGCTCAAAATGGAGGGTGTTTTAATGGTCAAAATGATGACTTTTAACCTTATAATGAGGTTTTTGGCATGTTTCTTCAAATGGGGGTTGCCATTACCATCATCTGAGGCTGAGAGTGTGTGACATGCCCATGGCCACTTCCTTAGCTACAGACTGTACGTACCCCAGAATGCATCACCTAGTATATTGGTAGTCCTTCCCCCCAACACTTTCTCATTTCCCCCCACCATTTCATAGCTGGGAGATGGAAATAATTTTTAAAGCAGCATTTAAATCTGGACTATTTTTTAAAAAGTAAGGTCCAAAACACACTGCAGAAATAAATGCTAGGGAACATGGGATCTGTAGTTTGTTGCGTTTATAAGTGACAGTTTTCCTGCTAAGTACCTGCATGTCATAAGCATTTGAATCAAAATTACCAGATTGAAAAAAAATTATTTGGTGTGTGTTGGAAGAGGGGTCGTCTTATACAGCGAGTATATCCCAAACTCTATATTTTAACTGGAAAAGTTGGGGGTCGTCTTATATACCCAGTCGTCTTATACACCAGAAAATACAGCAGTTTCTATTTGACCTGGGAGAAAAGGAGGCCTTTTGCAAATCCTCTGCAGCAAATTGAGCTAATTATCTGTCTGTTGTTTTTGTATTAAAGTTGTCTTCCATCAAGTTCTGCCTATTTTGAAATTCAACAACTTGAACAATAGCATCTTGCAAAGAAACATATCCTTTAACTTGCAAAATATCAATTATTGGAGAGTAATATTTTGGAAGGCTAGCCAAAAACTGTCCTGGTTTTGCATGTTCTGGAAAGGATTCTCCAGGTACTGTAACTCAAGACAAAGTTGTCATAAAGCCATTAATATGCTGATTTAAAAATTGAGGATGATGCAGCTTTGATTGATTATGAGAGCTGTTTGATTAGAAAACTTGGAGCAGGGGTAGACAACCTTTCCCCTTTAAGGGCCGAGGGACTTCAGCTCCCAGAAGCCTCAGCCATGTTGGCCAATAGTCCCATGTTGGCCAATAGCTCCTGGGATTCTGGGAGCTGAAGTCCCTTGGCCCTTAAAGGGGAAAGGTTGGAGAATCAAATACTTTCTGTAGTTTGTCCCATATCTGTTTTGCATCAGTTAAACTTTGGATATGGTATGTAATACTAGGATCTATAGACTAATAAATATAAGCAGCTGCTTTTCCTGCTTTTCCATCAAACTGTTGTTTCTGTATTCCTGCTTCTGTGGGTCTCTGCCCATTCACTGATTTAAATAGTCTCATGGTAGTCAAGTACATTTGTATTTTCCATGACCACGTTTTATAATTTGTTCCAATTAATATTTCAGTGATTATTGTGGGATTAGGATTAGCAGAAGCCATTCTCTATTATTAGAGTAGTAAAACCTTTCTTGCAGTTAATATCTTCAGGAGAGGCAGTTTAGAACAAAATAGATTCGCCCCAAATAATCCAAAAATGTGGGATAATTTAAGTTTCATAAAGCTTCAGCCATTTTGAGGTAAATAAAA